GGACAGTCGGAAGGTCCTTGGACAGTCGGAAGGTCCATGGACAGTCGGAAGGTCCATGGACAGTCGGAAGGTCCATGGACAGTCGGAAGGTTCACCATATGTATCTTGAAACTCCATACCGGCCGGAGTAACTTAAAATTATGCGTTAGCATAATTTGAAGCTCCCCATGTGGAGCTTCCCCATCTCCAATTTAATAATAAATTTAATATGTCTTCTATCAATATATATAGATATTGTGGAAATTCAACTTCAGGAATGATACATCATTTACGTACTTCACATAAAATTAATAACGAAAAAGAAATTGAATCATCATTAAAACGAACAAAAGGATTATTTGATCGAAGCTGTATCCTTCAAGATAATAAAGCGTCGAAAGCATTATTCACAAGAAGAACGGCATTAATGCTGTGTAGAACTCTTATGCCTTTTTCTATTGTGGAAAATGAAGGATTTAAAGATTGGATGTTGAACAATAATTTTGTACAAAATGTTGATGATATTCCCAACAAAAATAGTGTGTTAAATTCTGCTTTAAATGATGTTTACAATTCAGCGGAATCATTGATGAAGAAAGAATTATTCACTGCTTCAAAAGTCATTACTTTACAACTAGATTATTACACTTCAGTCAATGGTTGTGTACCATATATTACATTAGCAGTACAATACCTTAATGAAAATTTTGAAATGGTTACTTTTACTCTTGCAACAGAGAAATTTGAACGTCCCCACTCTGCTGTAAGAACAGGAGAGAAAGTAACTCAAGTTCTTGAAACATATGGACTTCATGATCGAATTATAATAGGTAAAAACTGTTTTTTCTTTTTCAAAATCTGTAAACGCCATTTGAAACTTTAATAAGTTATTTCTAAGTACAAGAATAAAGAATGATAATTATAAACTTTTCAAATAGTGGAATATATATTTTTGATATCTGCATATTATAATCATATAATGTGAATTAATAAATTTAATTGTTTCACTAAAAAAATTCTTATCAACATTTTA